TTTTCAGTGTATTGTTATTAATTTATTATATATATGATAAAAATGATGCACACACATAATTGGTTAGAAATTAACCATAAATACTTCATTTTCAACCAACTATTTGTTTCTCGTTAAGATACTGTGTAAGATATTTAAAAGAGGAGAAGTATCGGTTTTTATTGCATATATCGACGTTTCAGCCGGATTAGAGCGGTTTTACGTGTACATCTTCCATTGGTAATATAAACATAAAATCAGGAACGTTTTAGTAAATTCTAATGAAAACACATTGATTTTTATCATTTGTATTGGAAACAACATTTTAATATGTCTTTTCTGGGATCTAAGTAATACGAAACCTCGCCTTATAATTTGAAGTTAAAATCCTCAAATTTGGTAATATAGTGACTTTTTTCACGTTTTTCATGTAGTTTGATTTTACGTAAATATATTCGTTTTTACCAATATTTCGATACTACTTCATGTTTTCTCACGATTTGGCCTCCAAATCTCAGAATTTCGCATAATATTGCATTTTAAAGCAAGTTTTCTTGCATTTTGTTTTGTACTAAAAATCATCGAATTTAGCAATATTTTGACGTTGATCATCCCCCTTTTCCTTTATGTGATTTAAAGAAAATATCATCGAATTAGGCAATATTTTGCCGTTTTTCCACGTTTTTGTGAATTTTCAGTTTATTGTTATTAATTTATTATATATACGATAAAAATGATGCAAACACATAATTGGTTAGAAATTAACCATAAATACTTCACTTTCAACCAACTATTTGTTTCTCATTAAGATACTGTGTAAGATATTTAATAGGGGAGAAGTTCTGTTTTTATTGCATATTTCGACGTTTCAGCCGAATTGGAGCGGTTTTACGTGTATGTTGGAAGTTTTACACACTATATCAATATTATTATCTATCAAAATGATATGAGAATCACTACAGATTCATTATACACCTTGATCCTAGATAACAATGCCACATATGATTACGTACAGCCATAGGGCTGTTGATTGCCTACCTGTCTTTGTGCATGATTTCTCAAGGATCTAGAAACTTCTAGAAGGATTTCTTAATTAAAAAACTATTAGAACATTCAATTGATTTCCTGTACAGATTAAATCAAATCATTAATACGAATCAGTAGTGCTGGCAAGTGCTACTTATAATCTTTAAATCCTATATCTAATTATATTATAATCACATCTTGTCTCAATCATATGTCTAGACAGTAAAAATAATCAATCAATATTCATTGAAAGCTATCCTCTCAAGGAAGAGGGGGTGCCAAACTCAGGAGTGAAATGAGCTACAAGCTACAACTTTAATATATCCAATAAGTCTGTTTGCCGTTACAGGGTGAAGCGACGCCTCATATTTCAGTAAGAATATTACTATTGTAGTGGCTGAATCTCTTCCAGGTCACCAGACATTCTTGAGATTCACAACCCCATGAGTGTCCCTTGTGTGGAAATAGTCCAGTCTAGCTGGCTGAATTTCTTCATATAAATTGAATATATCTATATATATATACTTGAACATATAAATTAAGTTAACAATTGCCTGCTTAGTTATCTTTAATTTATAATATAAGTGCATCATTTGAATATAAGCTCTTGTACTGAGTTAATAGTACTTAGACCACATTTAAACTCATTTGATTGTATATTCATAAATATCATACTCCTACAATATAAATTGTTGTGTTTATAGTATAAGAATATTGGCGGTTATAGTTATGGTGTTAGGCTGGACTGTGTACATGTTTAAATTCTTGATTTAAACAGAACCAATGTTCAGTTATAGAACTGAATTACTAAATCTTATCCTTGTATTAACAATACAAGCTGATGTGAGATACTTGTCTGCAAGTGGATTGTGGATCTTCAGTCAACTTCTCCATTCACCCCCACCTGCCTCTTAGAGCCCACAGTCTGTCATTAGGAAAAAGAGTAGCTAGGATTTACGACCCTAGCTGGAGACTTTAGTTGAATTAATTTTGCATACGGTCATTTTTAATTTAGTACAGTACGAGTCCCTAGTAGTTCTCCTCTCATATTAATCCTGGCAGGTTTTCCCACAATTTTGGTACTTTGAACCTAGATGGTTATATCAATACACTTCAGACCATATTTATGGTCCTTCGTTTAACGAATATTTCAATAACAAATCCATAAGAAACGTTTTAATTTTTCATTGGAATAATTTGTACATATTATAGCCTAACCTAGCTAACAACCAATATCTATAATATCTATAAATCTAAGTGAACAAATTTTGTGCAGTGGTTTAAGGCCACCTTATCCATTACCTTAGGAAGCATTCATTGCATACTAGTAAATGTTCTGTGTTAAAAACCACAGTACCTAATATTATCGGTTGTTACAGACCCAACTGCTTCTTATCTCATAAATACCATTATACCTCACTTGGGGGTGACATATATATACACACATTAGTGTATATTAGTGTATTATCCATCATTATCTTTAATCAACTGATTTTTAGAGCTGCCCATTACTAAATACTCTTTAAAAAAGTGTTTTTAACCCAATAAGAGCATTTCATTACAATATATCCATAATAACTGTATCAAACCCTATTACAGGTAAAATCAGTAGGCAATTCTACGGTATTTTATAAAACCCCTACTAGGGTAATAGATCTTGTAATAATTTTGCAAAAATAGTGCCATTTACTATTTTTAAAATATTATTACAAGATTTATGGATTTGGTGCATTTGGATGAAAAACCAAATTATTACACTTTTGATAATTGAGCTCCAGCCACTCCAGATTCCAGGGAGGAAAGGAAGGACAATCTTTTGAATCATTACCTAAGTTATCAGGAAAGTTCATTTATCAAAATACATTAACATTAATAAATATTTTTATAAAAAAAAAAGAAAAAATATCTTGGAAATTCCAAAACTCGGAAAAATCCAGATGACTTCTAATTCTTTACCTGCTACAGAAACAGGAAAGAAAAGGACACTTATAAAGTGTCAAAAAAAATCACTTGACTCAACAGCTTGACAGATGTTGAGAGTTAGCTAATGAAGTATCTCTTGAATAACAGTCAAAACTTCAATTGAAAAACTTGATCAAATCAAACACCTTTCTGAGACTTATTTAGCAGAAAGAGCTAATGCTGATTTAACCCAAAGGGAATTTCAGGATATCAGAGGTGAAATAGCAATTTCTGAGACTTATTTAGCAGAAAGAGCTAATGCTGATTTAACCCAAAGGAAATTTCAGGATATCAGAGGTGAAATAGCAATTTACAAAAATAAAATCCAGGATCAACTAGATCCTTTAATCAAACTTGCATTACTTGCAGTAGACCAACCAAACATGAGCACATGCACTCGGTTTGGTACCTCAACTATCCCACATGTAACAGCCGAGCTCCCAAAGGAACAATTACTATGTTTTGAGGGCAAGGAGGAAGAAAATTGGGATGCCTTCTGGAGATCTTTGGATTATCTAATACACTCTAATGCCTCTCTCTCGCAGCACTACAAAGCCTATGTAAAAATCGAGCAAAAAATCTTGCGATTGTCACTGAAATTAAGAGAGCGGTGAGGGTACTAACAAACCAAGGAAGAGTCATCAAGTTTCTGTGGATTCCCTGCCATGTTAGAATATGTGAAAATGAACGAGCAGATATGCTAGCTGCTGAAGGCGCTGAAGGAGACCATATTGAATACTTCATACCCAAGACTCTGCTACTAATTAGAGGTATTGTCAGACAACATCACCTTCAAGGTAACTAAGGACAAGGTAACTAAGGAAAGGAGGATAGAAGCACAAATCAGCGAATTTGTACGATGGTACAACAAGGTTGCAGCTGGCAATTCCAATCATAATCAACGAAGAGGAAGTGGCCGTGGGAGAGAATCAGTAATAGCGAGAACCCGTCTTGGATAAAAATATCCATGGAGATTCGGAATGGAAACAACAGTTGAGCAGCAGAGTTGCAGAATCTGTGATGAGAGTGACGGACACCGCCTTGACCACTACCTGAGAGAATGTGAACTCCTAAGAGTCATTAGAAATTTGTGTAGAATAATAAATCCCACATTGTTTGAGTTAGGAAAACACCATTTGTCAAATATTGATACTGTTCTTAAAAGATTCCCCCATTTTGCACCCGCAAGATAATGTAAGATTTTAAGGATTGACAGATGTTATTCTTCTTGATTGAGGAGCTGTTCACTTGAGACAATTAGGCAAGTCCCAGCTGTGTCTGAGTACAAGTGACAGGATGAACAACCCCGCGGGTTTTCTTCCTATTTGGAAGTGTTGTACATGCTGCTATGGCGGTATGTCCACTCACAGGATTAGGGGCGATGCCCAATAAACTCGCTCCTCGGGGCAAAAATAAAATTTAACAAATGACAAATGTCATGTCATTTCAAAGTCCACATGGCAACTTTGAAGCACTTGACAACTTTCTAACACATGCCAACTCTCTAGCACATACCAACTCTCTAACACATGATAGCATTCTAACTCATGCCAATTTTAAAACACATGACATCTTTGAAACACAAGCCAAACACATGATGAAACACATGATGACTTTCTAACACATGCCGTTATGGCCTCACTTAGCCAGTAACCGGGTTCTTTATTTCAAACTTTGTGTATAGGGCCATAGTGGCTCTTCTTAGGCGATCCCACCCCCAAGTCATTGGTAAGTTATCAAGAATTTGCAGTAATAATTAATCGTGAAAGGAAAAGGGGTAAACAATTCTAACCAGAACCTGTACCTCTTAAATATATCTATATACCTATGTACATACCACACTGCGTGTCACCTTCGCACAGGATACTAATGCAATGAAGTCAGCAATCTTTTCCCAGCGAATCCACTTTATCTTCAATTATACATCACTCAAGTTTTATGGTCCTCACACCGGTGAGTTCACCGCTCTCAATATAACATATGCCAGTACTACACTGTATCGTCAAGGTGTCCAAAACCCCACTTCTACTCACCGGCAACACTTTGTCAGAAGGCTCCAGCAACTCGCTGACAGGGGTATCCAACAACATACTGGCTGAAGTCTCCGGCAACACATTGGCAGAACTCCACACAGAATTACAACAAGCCTTTACAGACGGCCAATACTTCCATCTTGTCACTCAATATGGCCGTCCCGGGTACGTCGGTTCAATCACTAATACTTCGCAAATATTACAGACAAATCACTGTCTATACCAACGCGGCCACTTGTTCTCAATGGAACACGTCTTGAGTTCAGGACTGTCAAGCATGAACTCTTTCCTGTTGATCACGATACACTCCACATCACTTCTGCGGACTTAAAACGTCATTAGCATGACAGAAACTACACAGGGATAAAATATGATGACAGCCTTTCACCGGGGAACAGAAAATGTGGTCGGTATAATTAATAGATTGCGTTGACATTGTAACATTCTTCAACAGAGGGCGTTGTCGTCGACCAACTTCCTAAACGAATTGTGGTTGTAGTTCTTCAGAGATGGCATGAATATCGTCACACCTCACTCCACGGATGAAGTGGATATCGTCACACCTCACTCCACGGATGAAGTGGATATCGTCACACCTCACTCCACGGATGAAGTGGATATCGTCACACCTCACTCCACGGATGAAGTGGATATCGTCACACCTCACTCCACGGATGAAGTGGATATCGTCACACCTCACTCCACGGATGAAGTGGATATCGTCACACCTCACTCCACGGATGAAGTGGATATCGTCACACCTCACTCCACGGATGAAGTGGATATCGTCACATCTCACTCCTCAGATGGCGTCTAAATCCTCACGCCTTCCTTCTAAAAGAATTAGTTATAGTTTCTAAAAAAATAGCATTTTAGATGCGTGAAAGGCATTTGCTACAACGTTTTCTACTCCTTTAATGAGTTCAATATAAAGGGAGTACTGCTGAAGGTGTAGACTCCACCTAATGAATCTGAGATTCTTCAGACGGAATTGTGCTAAACTGTGGTTATAAATGGAATTGTGGTTATCTTGGGGTTATCTTGAGATGATTTTGGGGCTTAGCGTCCCTACGGCCCGGTCCTCAAACTAAGCTTCCTTTTTGTAACACACCTCCCGGGAAGCAGCCCGTAGTCAGCTGACACGGGCTGCTTCCTGGGGGTGGAGGCCTGGTCGAGGACCGGGAACACTAAAGCCCCGAAATCATCTCAAGAAATCCCGAGGTGGCTGTGACGCTGGGGTGGTTGTGACGCCGCAGTGGCTGTAACGCTAAAGTGTCTGTGACCCTGGGGTGGATAAGACGCCTAAGTGACTGTAACGCCGGGGTGACTGTAACCCCTGAGGTGGCTGTGATCCTCGGACGGCTGTGACGCCGAAGAGGCTGTGACGCTGGGGTGGCTGTAACAATTGGGGTGCTGAGACGCGTGGGTGTCTGTGACCCTGAGGTGGCTGTAATCCTAGGGTGACTGTGACCCTGGGGTGGCTGTGACCCTGGGGTGGCTGTAACAATTGGGGTGCTGAGACGCGTGGGTGTCTGTGACCCTGAGGTGGCTGTAATCCTAGGGTGACTGTGACCCTGGGGTGGCTGTGACCCTGGGGTGGTTGTGACGTCAAGGTGGTTGTGTCCATTGGGTGTCTGTGGCCGGGGTCACTGTGACGCCAGGGTGGCTGTGACGCTGGGGTGGTTGTGACCCTGGGGTGGTTGTGACGCCGTGGTGGCTGTGAACTTGGGGTGGCTGTGACGCCAGGGTGGCTGTGACGCCGGGGTGGCTGTGACCCTGGGATGGCTCTGAAGCCAGGGTGGCTGTGACGCCGGGGTGGCTGTGACGCCGGGGTGGCTGTGACCCTGGGGTGGCTGTGACGCCAGGGTGGCTGTGACGCCGGGATGGCTGTGACGTCAGGGTGGCTGTGACCCTGGGATGGCTGTGACGCCGTGGTGGCTGTGACGCCAGGGAGGCTGTGACCCTGGGGTGGCTGTGACCCTGGGGTGGCTGTGACGCTGGGGTGGCTGTGACGCCGCGGTGACTGTGACGCCAGGGTGGCTGTGGCCCTGGGGTGGCTGTGACGCCGTGGTGGCTGTGACGCCAGGGTGGCTGTGACTCTAGGGTGGCTGTGACACCAGGGTGGCTGTTACCCTGGGGTGGATGTGACGCCGTGGTGGCTGTGACCCTGGGGTGGCTGTTACCCTGGGGTGGATGTGACGCCAGGGTGGCTGTTACCCTGGGGTGGCTGTGACGCCGTGGTGGCTGTGACGCCAGGGTGGCTGTGACCCTGGGGTGGCTGTGACGCCGTGGTGGCTGTGACGCCAGGGTGGCTGTTACCCTGGGGTGCATGTGACGCCGTGGTGGCTGTGACACCAGGGTGGCTGTTACCCTGGGGTGGATGTGACGCCAGGGTGGCTGTGACCCTGGGGTGGCTGTGACGCCGTGGTGGCTGTGACGCCAGGATCGCTGTGACCCTGGGATTGCTATGACGCCGGGGTGGCTGTGACACCAGGGTGGCTGTGATCCTGGGGTGGCTGTGACGCCGTGGTGGCTGTGACGCCGGGGTGGCTGTGAACCCTGAGGTGGGTGTGACCCAAAGGTGGCTGTGAACCTGCGGTGGCTGTGACCCTGCGGTGGCTGTGACCCTATAGTGTCTGTGATACTGGAGTGGCTGTGATGCTTGGGTGGCTGTGACCCTGTGACGGTTGTGATTCTGAGGTGTTTGTGACCCTGGGGTGGCTGTGACACTGGGGTAGCTTTGACTCCGGGGTGGCTGTGACGTCGGGGGTGTCTGTGACGCCGGGGTGGCTATGACACTGGGGTAGCTGTGACCCTGGAGTGGCTGTAGCACCTTGGTGGCTATGACGCCAGGGTGGCTGGGATGCCGAGGTGGCTGTGACTCTGGGGTGGCTGTGACTCTGGGGTGGCTGTGACGCTGGGGTGGCTGTGATGCCGGGGTGGCTGTGACGCCAGGGTGGCTGTGACGCCGGGGTGGCTGTGACCTTGGGGTGGCTGTAACGCTGGGGTGGCTGTGGCCCTGGATAGGCTGTGATCCTAAGGCTGCTGGGACCCTGAGGTGGCTGTGACGCTGGGGTGACTGTGACGCCGGGGTGGCTGTGACACTGTGGTGGCTGTGACGCTGGGGTGGCTGTGACGCCAGGGTGGCTGTGACACTGTGGTGGCTGTGACGCTGGGGTGGCTGTGACGCCGGGGTGGCTGTGACGCCAGAGTGCTTGTGACCCTGGAGTGGCTGTGACGCTGGGGTTGCTGTGACGCAAGGGTTGCTGTAACGCCGGAGTGACTGTGACGCTAAGGTGGCTGTGACCCTGGGTTGGCTGTGACCCTGGGGTGGCTGTAACGCTGGGGTGGCTGTGACGGCGGGGTTGCTGTGACGCTGGGGTGTCTGTGACCCTGAATTGGCTGTGACGCAGGGGAGGCTGTGACGCCAAGGTGGCTGTGACGCCAGAGTGCCTGTGACCCTGAATTGGGTGTGACGCAGGGGTGGCTGTGACGCCAGAGTGCCTGTGACCCTGGGGTAACTGTGACGCCGGGGTGACTGTGACGCCGGGGTGGCTGTGACGCTGGGGTGGCTATTACGCCAGGGTTGCTGTGACGCTGGGGTGTCTGTGACCCTCCGGGGTGGCTGTGACTCCGGGGTGGCTGTGACTCTGGGGTGGCTGTTACCCTGGGGTGGTTGTAACGCCAGGGTTGCTGTAACGCTGCTGTGACGCCGGGGTGGCTGTGACGCCAAAGTGGCTGTGTCCCTGGGGTTACTGTGACCCCTGTGTGGCTGTGTCGTTGGTGTGGCTGTGACGCTGGGGTGTCTGTGACCCAGGGGTGGCTCTGACGCCGTGGTGACTGTGACCCTAGGGTGGCTGTGACGTTGGGTGGCTGTGACACTGGGGTACCATCCCTGGTGTGATTGTGACGCTGGGGTAGCTGTGACGCCAGGGTGACTGTGACGCAGGGGTGGCTGTGACGACGGAGTGGCTGTGACGCCGGGGTGGCTGTGACGCTTGGGAGGCTGTGACGTCAGGATAGCTGTGACCCTGGGGTCACTGTGACCTTGAGGTGGCTATGACCCTGGGATATTTGTGACGCCAGGGTGGCTATGACGCTTGGGTGGTTGTAACCCCTGGGGTGGCTGTGACGCCAGGGTGGCTATGACGCCGGGGTGGCTGTGACGCCGGGGTAGCTGTGACCCTGGTGTAACACCCATGACCTCCCCCCCCCCCTTAGAGTTCACACCCAGGGAAGCCTTAATTGTACGATTGGTTCTTTCAGTCATACCGTTTGCTTGCGGATGGTAAGCAGTCGTGAGGGCTGTTGTAGTTTCTAAAATTTTACAAACTTCTTTAAAAGTGTTACCAACAAACTCTTGACCTCGGTCAGAAAATAACACTTTAAGGGGACCAAATACCGTGACAAACCTATCTAAGAACGCCTTTGAAACAGTTCGTGAATCTTTCTGAGGCAATGCAATCAGTGTGGTGTACCTGGACAGGTGGTCTACCAACACCAATACGTAACGGTTTCCTGAATGACTGTGATGCAGATCAATCAGATCAGCCCCCACCCGATCTAAAGATTCCAAAATTTCTGGAAATTCTTGCAATGGAGCTTGTACCTTAAGGGTACCTTTCCTCCTTTGACAATGACCACATGACTTAACGAAGTTAATGACCTCTGTTAACATACCGGGGAAGAAAAAGAGTGACTTGGCTTTCATGTGAGTTTTAAAAATCCCCGGATGACCTGCAATCTTAGACGAATGTGCGAGTTTCAAAGCTGACTTCTTCAACACCTTTGGGATAACCAACTGAAAAACTGCACGATCCTTCTGTCCCTTTACATAAAATAAGACCCCATCCTTTATTTCAAAATCAAGAATTGCTAAATTACGTTTCTTCGACGGATATTTTCCTCCCTCTAAAAGTTCAATAATTTCCTTCCACTTTGGTTCGTTCATCTGGAATTCTCGCATTTTCTCACTGGAAACATTGCAAGGGAATTAGACTCCAGATTCTTATGTGTAAACATCCATGGATCTCCCCCTTTTTGGCCAGGTCAGAGGT